TTTTGGACGACCAATAAGTTCATCACGTATTCCATATCGATTACATCGATACTATAATTTATAAAGAAGCAGGCGTTATATGATTATTTAATGCATTTGATATTTAAGATCAAATTACGTTATGTTTAGATACTATTTTATCTACATTATGATCCCGCGCTATGATCCGATTTTTATATGCTAAAACAGTATGAATAATATCTTCACTTTGCACTTTAGACGGACGTCCTCTATTACGAGACATTTTGAATTGTTACGATTGTTGCCAATCACAGCGTGAGACTTCAACAGCCACGATGAGAAGCTCACGGTGGAGACGCGAGTAAAACAGTAGATGAGCAGCCGAAATTTCACGGTCGAAAAAAAACGCCTCGCGCCGCGCCGTCTTTTTTCGAAATCAGAAAGATACATTATTGCGAAGAATATTTCCGAAGCCTCTCTCAGTGATCGAGATGGCTAATAGTGCGCACTAGTGCATTCAATCGAATACGCTATAAGACATTCGTCTCGGAAAGTAGAGAAGTTAAATTCCTGGCTGAGGTAATATTTTCTGCAATAAGTTCTTTACAAATTTTTCTAATCAGTTTAGAGGAAATTATTAATGATTGATTGTGACAAAAGTCCTAAAGTTATAGGCGCGCAATCACATCTGAAATAAATTTATTTAATAAATACATATACATATAATCTCGTATATAATCGTAACATCCTATTTTGACCGTAATAATAAGTAATAAGATTTTCTAATTATAGTTCGACTAAAAGATTCTATCACTAGATTCATATCAATTTAACGCATATTTTCGTCTCAAATCTTCTTCAGGACCCATAGTAATATTTGACGTATGCAATTTTAAAAAGAATCCAAAATCAATGCCATTAGAAGACATTCCACAACAAATTCAAAATCCATTTAATCAAGAAAAAGATTTAAAATTAATTGGAATCGTCGATTACAAAAAGCCACCAATGTCAACTCGAGGATCAGATATTGGCATTGGTCACTGTACTGCGATCAATAGGCGGTCGAAAAACTGGATCGAGTACTGATCTCATACTAACAGCCAAAAATATAAAAAAAACAAGCATGTATATCCACAAGTTCTTATGTACATTTCTGATGAATAATGAAATAAATTATACATAAAAATAGGAAAATATACACTTATTACACTGTCCTTCAAAAACACTGAACATACGATCTAAATAAGCGGAAAATGATACAAGATATGACGACCTTAAAGTTTGTCAACTTTTTCTAAATTGTATAATTCGTAGAGGAAGGTCACCGATACCGACATACCGACATACTTTGTTTTTAGACAATATTTCTCAAACAAAAGGTAAAAATACAACTTCAAAAACATAAATACAAAGTAAAAAGTGTCTTCTATCAGATAGTATAAGCAATTTTTATAATACTGTTTGCAATTTTGCAATAATTAAGTTTTTCGTAAGTTATGCAAAAATGAGCGTCTGACAAAATGAGATCCAAAACTGACATAGTAGGCAATAATAACAAACATTCTTATTTTATAAATAAAGATATATCCTATTCCGTAAAGAAAACTAATTTATGAAACTATAAATACTTAAAATGACATAATATTACCAATAATACAGTCACTATTATTTTAATTACGCAATTTGCAAAAGAACACCATAAGAATTTTCTTCTCGGATTCATAGAAATGGTTTTTAGCTGATTTGGTATAGAAATAAGTCACAAATATATAAATTATGAGTTTGTACTTCTTTAATTAGCTAAACAGATCATGATTTTATTAGTATTAATAAAGTGCAATAGTTAGTTTCTGAGAAATAAGAGGGTGTCACTTTAGGAGACATGTCAGTATCGACGATATTCCTCTATGATATAAAACAATAATCCATTTTTTCTCAATAGTTCTAGGTAAACTAGAACTGAGTTTTAGTTTACCACTGCAAAAATTTAGTAAATTCGATTTTTCCGAAATTAAAATCGTCTAAGAAAAGTCAATTTCGTTATTTTAATCGCATATGTGAAGCAAAAAATCAGAGAACCGTAATAAATCAAGATATCGCAATAATTTACAATTTAGTATTATGCTGGCGCGGGATGGCTTTGGGTGGTTTTCAAGGGTGGTGGAGCAACAAAATCGGATTCGTCGCAAATCGCGAGCAACAAAATCGGAGACGCGAGAGAGAGAGAGAGAGAGAAATCAATCGAGATATCTCAATAATTTATAGTTTAGAGGTGTTGTGCTAACTCGGGATGGCTAGGGGTGGTTTTGAAGGGGGTGGAGCAACAAAATCGGATTCGTCGAAAATCGCGAGCAACAAAATCGGAGACGCGAAATCAATCGAGATATCTCAATAATTTACAGTTTAGAGGTGTTGTGCTAACTCGGAGTGGCTAGAGGTGGTTTTCAAGGGTCGGGGGTGGAGCAACATAATCGGCAACTGAGCAACAAATTAGCAACAAATTAGCACAAAAAGAATGTGTGTAATTTTTTATTAAAAAGAATTTTTTTTATGTGGCTGTGCTAACTTTAGTCTTAAGTTAGCACAGCCATTGTTTCCTCGGAATTGGCTGGAGCAACAAAATTGGGAATTGAACAACAAATTAGCAACAAAAAAAGCACTAAATTTCTGTGTAGGTTTCGTTCGATTGTGCTGAAGTGGCTGTGTCAGTTTGATAGACGTGTCATAGAAAGCTTTTGCCACCGTGACAGCTTCGATATCTTAGAGTGGAATTGCCACTGGCCAACGAGAAAATCTGTCTATAATTGTTAAACAGTATTTATAACCGTTTGATTCCGGCAGCGGACCTATAATATCCATGTGGACGTGTTCAAAACTGTTATCCGGCGCAATGGTTTTGTCGGGATTAGTATGGACGTGCCGCGAAATCTTGGTCTGCTGGCAGTCCGTGCAGTTTTTGCACCACTTAGCAATGTCACGATGCATGTTGAGCCAAACATAACGTTGACGAATTACTCGATCTGTAACCTTAGGGCCAGAATGGGCCGTATCATGGAACATGTGGAAAACGCGCTCACGCAGGGATTCAGGAATATACGGACGAATTGCTTTGCCGGTCAGTTCACAATACAGAGTGGTGTGAGTCGGTTTCCATTGTATGCGCTTCAAGGAGAGAGGACGGTCTCGGTTTTCTAGCAGTGATTTCAACTCTGTATCGAGTTCCTGTTGTTGCGCGAGCTCGTTTAATTCGATTTCAACTGGCAACCGAATAGATTCAACGCGAGAGAGTGAGTCGGCAACTACATTGTTACTGCCCGAAAGATCCTCAATGCGCGTAGTGAACATTGAAATAAACGAAAGTTGTCTTTGTTGACGCGGCGATGCCTTATCCGAACGTTGCATAAATGCATAAACGAGTGGTTTGTGATCTGACAATATTTTGAATGTGCGTCCTTCAACAAAAAATCTAAAGTATTTATTTGACCGCCTCGAAGATCGCAGTAAGTTCTCAATCGTAGGCACTGTAATTTCGTTGCGCCGTACTAAATTTGCGTGAGAAGAACGCGAGCGACTTCCACGAATCGTCGAGACGTTGTTCGAGAACGGCTCCCATAGCAAAGTCGGACGCGTCGCAAACTAGGCGCGTTTCGGCTGAGTCAGATGGATGGGACACTTGTGTTGCGTTGGCCAGGACGTCCTTACATTTCAGTATTACGCCGAAGAGGCGTTCAGTAAATACGATGTTTACGCAATCGCTCGCTTATCATTCTTGCGCGAGTCGCGGAGATACTCGTTCAATGGCGCTTGAATGGTGGCTGCATCAGGCAAAAGTCTGCGGTAAAAATTGATGAGACCGAGAAAACGGCGCAATTCGATGATCGTCCGTGGCTTGGAAAAATTACGAATGGCCTGTATTTTTGACGGAGTGGGCTTGCAGCCTTCACTGTTTATTATGAACCCGAGGAACTCCAATTCATGTTTACCGAATTGGCATTTCTCGGTGTTGAGACGCAAATGAAATTCTTTGAGACGTTGCAAGACAATACGTAAATGCTTTTCGTGCTCCTCAGGCGACTCGGACGCTATAAGTATGTCATCGATAAACGCAAATACAAATTCAAGATCACCGAGCGCACGAAAGATGTATCGCTGGAATGTTTGGCTGGCATTTCTAAGACCATAGGTCATACATTTGTACTCGAATAACTCAAAGGATGTGATCACCGCTGTTTTTGGAATATCCTCTTTCGCGACAGGAATCTGATTATATGCTTGACTGAGATCAAGTTTAGAAAATACGGCCGCGTAGAATAGAAGAACAATCATGTAAATGCAGAATAGGAAATTTATCCGGCACGGTAATCGCATTGAGATGGCGACAGTCGCCGTAGATCCTCCATGACCCGTCTTTCTTATGCACCATGTGTATAGGGCTTGCCCAGGGACTATTAGATGGCTCGCAAATACCGAGGTCTACTAATCGTTTAAATTCGGCTTTCGCTGCCTTGAGCTTGTCCTGATTCAGTCGTCTTGGACGCTCCGCTACGGGTGGACCCGTGGTGACGATGTGGTGACACACGTCGTTATTGCTAACTGGAGTTGATTGGTCAAGACCGGTGACCTCCGGAAATTCTGCTATAATATACGCGAATTTAATGGCGGGGTTTACTGAACTGATTGGTGGAACTGATACAGCTCTAATGAAACCAGATGTAAATGCATTGTTCCGAGGGTCGATGAGTCTGCGACCCTTGAGATCCGGTAGGAGGCCATAGAACGAAATTAAGTCGGCCCCGATTATTGGATACGGAACCGAGGCTATATAGAAATTCCACGTGAGTGGACGTATACTGAGATGAAGAATCCGAAACGACTCACCATATGTATCAATTAGGGTGTCGTTCGCTGCGTACAGCTTGAGATTAGTCGGCATTTTTTTTATTCGTTCTATTACAAGTAGTGAAATTTCCGCGCCGGTATCTATGAGAAAAATTTTGCCGGTCACGCGATCGCAAATGTGGAGGCGAACAGAGATGTTATTGTCTGCTGCACCCGCCTCTGTGTAAGCAGACACCTCTATTCCCCGAATTGGCCCCCGTAATAGTCTTAGGCTTTGGCCACGTACATGGATCTTTTTCAGTGCCTTTACACGCGCGCGCTTGATCGCCAAACGTTCTGTGCGGCCAACAGACGTTAGAGCGTCTGCTCTTGGAACGTTTGCGTTGTTTATCCGTTCCTCCTTTTGCTTGCGATCTGCTGGGTCTTTTAACTTCGGCCGCAAGAGTTGCAAGATCCGCAGCAAGACGATCGATTTTTGCTTCTAAGTCGGATGTTTTCGATTCTTTGAGCGACGCGGCGGCACATTGCGCTGATTCATTAGAAGTTTCCGCGATTTTGTCCACCATTTTGGCTAATTTGTCGAGCTCGGTACATTCAGAGGACACGAGGATGCCTCTGACGCACGGCGATAGATACTCGAAAAAAATAGTTTTAAGGACCGCCTCATCGCACCGCTTGTCAGGGTTGAGGTTACGTAGACGGCTGAGGATCTGCGACGGTTTACCGGATGTCAATACTTGACCTTTAATCAGTTGGCGCAATTGACTTTCTGTCGAAGCCGAAAAGCTTTCGATGATACGCTCCTTAAGCCTAGTATACGGTTCATCCGCGTCGGGTTCCGCAATGAGGTCCCTACAACACGCGATCACTTCCGCATCCAGTGACATTATTACATGGTGAGCCTTAGTCTTTTGGTCGGTAATGCGCGCGGCTTCGAAAGTGGCTTCCACTTGAATAAATCAGATTACTGGAGCTTTAATTAGAAACGGTGGAATTTTGGGAACTCGGTAAGTATTAATATGCGCAAAATTCCCGATCACACCCCATTTTGAAGCTCTTCCGTGGGAGGTGCCATATTTATTCACTACGACACGCTACGTTATATACACTAATTGTAAGTGTTTCACGCCTAACGACAGATGCGGTTTGTCCGGTATGGTCTCTGCTCTAACTCGCCGCACGCGTACGTCAATGAAATAGTCTGTATACCTGTTCAAATCAAACAGAGCTGCGATTAGGTGCTGCAACGTCATTTCCGTTGAAGAGCGCGGGAATGCGCCAATATGACGTCTGATATCGCCCAACGGTCGCCTGGCTGACGACGAAGTTCTGGCAGGGCCCCAAGTACAGAGTCGCTGCTTTAGACGGTACGTCGCTCTCTGGGACGATGACCAACCTGCCCCCGCTGGTATGTCTGGCGTGTAGTGCACGACGGTGATGCTTCCCCCGCAGGCCGCCCATGCGGCGTCCTCGAAAAAACTCGCAATTTGTGCGCTGACTGCTTACCACAGTTCTTTAATTGCTGAGAACTGCGGAATTCGCTCGATTTCACGATGACCGAGAAGTCTCTCTTCCACTCACAAATGCTGCTTGTTAGCGCCGCCGCCGTCGTCAGACCATGAGCCGTGTTACTTAGCTGGCTACTTGCACGGCGATTGCCAGTCGTTCACCTTCGCCATCACGTCGGGGTCACCAATGTGGGTTTAGTCGTTATTAATGCAGGGCTTAGAACTACAGCCCACGCCCTGCTGCAGTGGACGAGGAAAAAGGTGTAACACACTTGTCTATCGTAACCAAATAATCTTTATTTTGTTGCTGAGATCACGTGTGACTAGCTCGGCAGTTGAGAGAGTTCTGTTCGAATTCTTACTGCACGCAGGCAGCTAATCTCCTGAGTCGGGAAAAACCCTAGCTTGCCTGCTTTAGGGAAAAATGGCTGACGATGTCCCCACACACGGATTCTCGTAAGCACCACAGTTACATGAATTCCGTTTAAATAAGATCCCGATCTAATACTCTCTCGGGCGTCTAAGGCAGGTCCCACTACATCGCCTTACTGATGAGTCCAGTAGTGGGGACCAGGACGAAACCTCGCGATCGGTCGTAGTTCGAATCAATATCTCGATCCATTTTTTATTTTTCCGACCTCACCAATTCAATGATACCTCCAAAACAATTCAACAATTTAACATTGACATTAGCCGCATTCAGCAGAATGTTAATTTTGTAATTATTATAAGTTTTCTTTGTGTTGATTGGATTACTTTTAAATCTAAAGGTGCTTTTACATGAGAGCGTCAAACGTTGAACGTCAAAGCATGCGCAATAATATGTTTAATAATTTTACTGAAATTGTATTTAATATACATACACTGCTAATAGTAAAATCTTGTAGTTTACGTTATATAATATAAATGAATATAAATTTTTAGCATATATCAGGACCGCAGTATATATAGACATAACCTCTTTTAATTTACCATTTTGCGTCAAGAAGTTGTGAAGTCTGGAGATTCAGATATCTGCGCAATAATATTCTGCGCAGATGCTTGACGCTTGCATGTAATGGCACCTTTAAGGGGAGTAATCATATCTTATGACGAATTCAATTAGAAGCACTAGTGCGTCCAATTGAATTCGCTATTAGTGAAGACAATTTTCTACAATTACAAAATGAATATTCTCCTGAATATGGTCAATATTGTTTCCAAAAATCTATTGCTTGTCTAAACATTAATAATACATGTTTACCTTCATGTAATGTAGAACGCATACCACCTTAAGCGGGATTTCGAAAATCCAAAATTCCTTTAGTCACGAAAAATCACGATTTGGGTCGATTACGACTTCTAATGACACTTTACATTTTTCACAATCGCAACCTCTTCAGACAACATCAACACGAGGTATATATATTATATATGTTGTCACGCCTTTTCCCGGCGTTGATTATGTGGAGTGCGCGCGGGAGCGCACTTCGAGAAACGGCGGATCGATCGGATCGGAGGATATGTCTCACGCGGTCGAGCGAGAATCGAGAGCTGCGACAAAGTTGGGCGCCAGACGTGCTTCAAAGCAACGTCGATTTCACGAACGGGAACGCGAACCACGCGAACCACGCGGAAACCGCGAAACTCCGCGAGCACTAGGTATCACCAAAAACCGAGAGCAGTCTCTCGCTCGCGTGAGGGCTGGCTAACTCTACCTAACGGCAGAGGGGGGGTACGGGTAAGGGCCGGTTTGCAGGAGGATGAATGGGATCTTCGAAGGCAGGGCGTTAACACAATCGTCACCACTAAGTAAATAATAAGCGTGTTTACTATGCCGAAGCGAAAGACACTACAGTAAAAGAAAACATTGAAATAGAGAAAGAAAAATTATTAGTAGACAGAGAAAATTAATTATAATGCAGCGGAACGATAGTGGCGCTATCGAATCGACATGCGATCGGGTAGACGCGATAGCTACGGAGATAGCAAACCATTAACTTAGCAAGCAAATTAAACAGGCAGATTCGGTGTTGGGATCTCGCGAATCGTCATGCAAGCTCATTCACGCCGCTGAGCCGAATATTCCGTTGTGAGACTCGACGGAAAAGTTTGAAGAGTAAGCCTTTTTCTCGGACGGCGCACATACACCCCGGGAAGGACGCATGGTATCGCAATCGGTGAACCTCATGCGGACGCGAAGACGATACTATCCGATAAAAGACTCTCACACGCAAACGCGACGCCCTAATTTACAACTTTGAGGACAAACACAGAGCAACGGTAACCACTCTAACATACGCTCGCTCATCCACGCACACATACGCACACCAACCGAGTACGCACGCGGAAAGTACACGCGACCGCCGGGCTCACGCTCGTAATATCTAACGCGATAGCTTTTCCGACTCGTCAAGGCCGCGATCTCCAGGAGGCTCGTCCTCGTGACTCGACTTTATCCCCGATAGCCCCGTGCACGCGGGCCCGGGAGCCTCTCACGCTTGGCGCCGGCCACGCCGTACCCGTAACACTAAGAAGGCGCCACTTATGGCGGCCACCGCACCAACACGAAATTCACGTGCGACAGAACGACGACAGAACGCGAGAGCAACCCTCCGCCCCGGTGCATGCGACTTTACATGATATCAGCCCAAGGGGCAACCTTACCGATAGCCAGGTCCTTCGACGGTCCTCCCTCTCGGGGCCTCTCGATCGTTTGTTCTCGCAAGTTCGCCGGGCTGGGCCGTCCATTCGCCAGAGCAGCTCGAAACGGAAGAGGACGAGCAGGATCTCGATAGATGCGCGATCAATTCGCGAGCTTTCCCCCTTACGGGGTTGCGCAGCCGCGTCGCGCGTTGCTGCGACCAATTAGCGGGCTAGCAGTCCTTCACGCGCAAGGACGTGCGTGGCGAGATGCTACGG